CACCAAATTGCAGTGAATTAAACTGCAAGATGGGGTATAGTTACCGGCGACAGTAACGAACATTTCAAATTGACCGATTATCGAAGCTATAACAAGTATACGTTTAAGTATATTGGACTGTTTATGCATGATGTATGTAGGCTAGGGTAGTACCATTATTCAGCCATACTGATAATAACATTTGCTAATTAAATTTAAGAGAATCATGGCGGCGACAGCATTTGCACCCAGTTATTGAGAATGAGTGAATTACTTAAAAAGTAGTTGAGTCCTACCGAGAGTTTATAGGCACTTCAACATGCTGCTAGGGTCATAGGCAGCAGAATGAGGTGGCAGCAGAATCTGGGAGGTTATAGGTAGAATAGCATGCTGGGACCAATTACATACTCAAGATAACAATTGAAATCACTTGGACATGTTCATGGCTATCAGTTGGCAACAGAAGTGTTACATCATGCAGGCTTGTCAAGAAACCAACAATGCTCGGAAGCGGCACTGGATTTAAAATAAAACAAATTCATGTTGTTACTGGAGTATTTGAACGGAAAAAATATCTACCCCCAAACTGTAGGAATAACACAACTAATCCTATTCAAGTGTATCCTCCAATTTGGAAGTCCCACTATTCAGTGTGTCTGTGGAATGCAAGATCTGTAAGGAACAAAACACTAGAGATTTGTGATTTCATTACTGAGGAAGACGTTGATATGTTGTTTGTAACAGAAACCTGGCTAAAACCAACAGTAGATGAAGCCAAGACTGCAGAGTTATTACCCCATGGATATGTCTTGAAGCATGTTCCTCGGACATATTCAGCAGGAGGTGGTGTGCTTGTTCTCCACAGGGAAAATATGAGAGTACAACATATTACAAGCCAGAAGAAGTATTACAAATCGTTTGAGATGCTGGAAGTAATGGTCACTCTCCCTAAGGAAACAGATTAATGTGTATTTACAGACCTCCCCCATCTAAAACTAACAGGCTGTCTTTTCCTCAGTTTATTGATGAATTTGAACCTTTTCTGGATCACATATTGCTTGAAAGGACAACTCAAGATTCTGATGACTTTAATATTCACTTGGATAATGCCTCTAGGACAGATAGCAAGACATTTATTCGTCTTCTTGATGCCCATCAGCTAGTGCAAATGATATCAAAACCCACCCAGCAGAAAGGTCATATACTGGATCTGGTGATAACAAGACGACTTGACCAAGGACATTGCTGTAGTTGACAAGCAGATGTCTGACCATTTTCTGATTACTGTGGATATTAATGTAGACAAAACCTAACCCATTAACCTAACCCATGTCGCAATCTCAAAACTATATCCACCTCAGAATTCAAAGATGACATCCTGGAATCAAGGCTTGTGATCGACTAACCAACTGAGTTAGCAGCATGCTACAATGAAACTTTAACCACGCTACTTGATAAGCATGCTCCAAAAGTGCTAAAGTTGAAATGCACCCAGACAAACTCCCCTTGGTATAATGATGAGATCAAACAAGCAAAAAACCAGAAACGCATCGATGAAAAGAGGTGGTGTAAATCCAGACTGGAAATACATCGCCAGATTTACAATGTGTCCAGGAATAAATTGAATCATCTACTTGTTAGAACGAGAGCTAAATATTCAAATGACAGGATTATTGAGAATCTTGGGAATCCTAAGATGCTGTTCTCCCATTTGAACTCACTATTAGGCAAGGCCGCGAATACTGTTCTCCAAGATACAGATACAGATAGTGACTCTGACTTAGCATCTAAATTCAGTGATTACTTCAATTCCAAGATTGAAACAATTTGTTCTGATTGGGACCGTACATCAACTTCCTGCGAAGTTGAATGTCATGAATTCCGAGGTAAGGCCCTCTCGTCATTCTCTCCTCTGACAGCAGAAGAGGTTCTTACTATTATCAGACAGTCAAAACCAACATTCCGTGATTTGGATCCGATCCCCACAAAACTGTTGTTGGAACATTTGGCGACACTGCTTCCAGCTTATCAATATGAGCTTGGAGACTGGAGTAGTCCCTCCATTTCTGAAAAAGGCTGTCATCAAGCCAACACTGAAGAAGCCCAACGCTGATGCAAATAAATTGCGCAACTACAGACCTATTTCAAATCTGCCATTTCTGGCAAAGATTCTTGAAAAGGCAGTAAATATGCTCTTAAAACATCACCTGGAAGAAAACATGCTTTGCCACACTTTCCAGTCAGCGTATAGGCATCAACACAGTACTGAAACTCTACTGTGTGTACTGAACAGCTCTGTAGATTGTGGTCAGCCTGCTGTTCTCGTCTTACTTGACTTATAAGCAGCATTCGACACCGAGAAGGCTCTTTCAGCATCTCAAACTTGAATTTGGCTTAAACGGCGTTGCTCTAGATTGGACTGACTCCTACCTCTCAGACAGATGTGAAACAGTCATAGTGCGACAGTCAAGTTCACAAAGCTGAGATATCATCTATGGTGTGCCACAAGGATCGGTCCTTGGACCCATGCATTTTTCATTGTACACAACGCAGCTCGGCAGTGAGATGGAGAAACAGGTTGTTGATCATCACTTGTATGCTGACGATACCCAGCTCTCAGACAGCCTTATTGTTCAAGACCAAAATCTATCTCTGACCAAGATTGAAAACTGCACAGAGCAGATGAAATCGAACAAACTGAAGCTAAACAAGAGCAAGACTGACACAATGCTAGTTGGAACTGGTGCCATGCTGACAAAGGTGAAAGAAACACTCCTTTCAGTTGACCAAGAAATCATTCCCTTCGTGCCTGTAGTGAAGAATCTTGGTGTTCTCATGGATTCCAATCTTACCATGGAGCAACAACTACAAGAACTTTGCAGAATATGCCATTTCCATCTCAGGAAGATTGGCACCATCAGACACCTGATAACCAAGGATGCTGCAGCAGCCGTGGTCCGCCCCCTTATATTTTCTAGGCTAGACTACTGCAATAGTTTATTGTCTGGAATATAAAAAGAATCCATTTCAAGACTTCAACGCCTACAGAACACTGCATCACGCCATAGTGACTCTTACACCCAAGTTCTCCCATATACAGCCAGTTCTAAAATCTCTACATTGGTTGCCTATTCAAGCCAGGATAGAATTTAAAGTACTAACACTTGCATATCGATGTCTATATGGTAAAGCACCACCATACCTCTGTGAGCTGATTAAGCAATACCACCCAACCAGACCACTAAGATCTGTAACTCAGCTTCTCTGTACTGTCCCAAAGTGGCGACTTAAAGGATTTGGCTACAGACGATTTCCCACTCAAGCTGCACTCCTCTGGAACTCTCTTCCAGAAGAGCTGAAAAAGCACCAAGTCTTGATGTTTTCAAGTAAGACCTAAAGACCCTGCTCTTCAAGACATACTACGACTAGTGAACTAGTCAAATTTGTAGCGCTATGAGCATACCTTCTAGGGGGGGGGTTAGCGCGTTACAAATGGACTCATTATTATTATTATTATAGTTCAGCTGCATAATGACTGTATGATGCACATGTATATTGGCTTCTACCTTTTTCTTGGGAACTTCTTTATGTTGTCTTTATTTAGTCTTTACTACAGATTCTTCACAGATTCAATGTACACAGGTTCAATGTGTTTACAGAAAGGAGATGGCGTAACTGCACATCAATTTCGTCTGAACATCTCTGTATTTCCAACATGCAAAATGAGGATGCCAGGTTATGGTGAAACAGCTACACTTCTGGCATTGGCGAACAGACAATACCAAAGGTGAATTACCACCAAACACCAATTACCCGAAAATACTCATGTGACATGAACCTATTACATCACTCTCCTATCACTTATTACAGCCAATAAACTACTTCTAGTAAAATAATTAGTTATTACTTTAAGTAAAAGATTATCTAGAAAAAGTGTGACCACATAACCAAATAGCAGCTTTACTCTTGCACATACCTGAAAGAAGAGAGACTTTTCTTGCAGTGCTGCTGTTTGGACAGCTAGTTATGTACAGTTGACAATGAAAAGTTTTTCTGCTAAAAATCTAAAAATATGGATTTCATGTGATTGCAGCGAAACTACAGGATTTATGCCAATGGTTTAATAGAGGAAGAGGATTTGCAAATACGATAATCGAATTAAACCCTCTTTTATAATTATATGTGGCATTTGGTAATGTTTTAAACGAACTCCACAACTCAGAAAACCAGAGAAGAAATGACTTTAGATCATCTATTTCATCAATGTTGTTATGTATTTGCTACCTTATATTCCAGGAAGTAGCACTCTACTCTAGAAAAAATATCACAAAATAATCAAGCACTAAATTGGTTATTGTGGTGTTTATTCATGGATGATTAAAATCTTACAAATAATATATATCTTAGTAACTTCTTTGAGTGGCATTTTAGAAGTTGGGATGTACAATGTTGAACAAACCTTATGGAAATAAAAGAAGTTGTTATCCTTAAAGTTTGTTCAGTATTATACCTTGGTAGTCATTGTCAGCACGGTGAGTGAAACTATGATAGGCTTTGACTGGCTGAGTGACAAAGTACACCTCTGCCTCAATGCACCAACTGTCAACATAACGTATAACACAAAGATTTATGTCGAATGAGTGATTCTGTTGTGCTCATTTTTAATTGAAGAACAAATATAAACAGTAACTTTGAGTATTTATTTCAGTTTATGAGTTTATGTAATTTATCAGACTATCAGTAACAAGTGGCCAATCACATGACAATATGGGTCCGGGTAGTCTGCCTTAGATCTGGGTAGTAAAAAATACTTAATTGACCCCTGTGCTTGAGTAACACAAATATCCTAACATTTTGGGCAAATATGACTGAGTAATAGTAATAATTAACTTTTTTAAGCATTGCCACCTCTTGAACAAAGTATACAAATAAAGGTTGAAATAAAGGAGGATTTGTCTCTGAGGCATTGTTGATATGCCCTCAAAATACACCATGCTGGTTGTCACAAACACTCTATGTACCTGTATAGCTACATTTTGTCGTCCAAACTTCCTTTCACTTCCAGTAGTTGTGTGTGTTTCAGCTGCTGCAACAGAATTACAATGAAATTAGAAAGGGGTCCCTTTCAATAAATGCTGCAGCTGTAATCTAAATATTAATTTGCATGTGCATTGATAAATTAGATGTTTTACTTCTTTTACCGAGCTGGTATCATATCTTTTTCAAAAACAGATTCCAAATCAAACCTCTTTTCAGGTGTCACCCTACAATCTATTTGTCTTCTAATGAGAATGATGAACTGCAAATTAACTCAATATCAGAAGCAGTCTGTTATATGTCAATACAGCAAACGGCAATGAATACCCTGTACCCAACAATAGCTGCTGTTTGGTATCTTCTTATCAATCAGTGAAAAAAGATTTTTAAGGAACTATCATGTTGTTATGTGTACAAGGTGACATCATAAACAGGGGCACAACCATGTACTGCAAATGCTACATGGTAAATGTCTTTGTTGAAAGACAAGATACGCTTCTGAGCTGAAATATATAAATAATTTTTAAGGTGGATGATTTCTTTCAATGTGAAGCAGAATGAAGAAAACCATTTTAAACACACCATCTTGTAAACTTTCTTGATGGCTATAGACGAAGGAAAATGAACATTGAAAAATTCAAATTTAAATTATATGTTCATAATGCTTATCCATCAGAAACTTCAAAGAATCCAAAATTCTGCTGCCAGATGTATCACCCACACTCATCGTCATGACCATATCACCCCAGTACTACAGTCTCTACACTGGTTCCCCATCTCTGCAAGAATTGCCTTCAAAATCCTCATTCTGACTCGTGACTGCCTCTACAATGATAACTTTCCTGACTATCTCAAACATCTCATCTGTATGTACCTCAGCGAAATCTCCGATCCTCCTCTGGCTCTCTCCTAACCCAACACAGATCTCCAAACCAACTGTCTGACCGAGCCTTCTCCTGTGCCAGCCCTAAACTGTGGAACTGTCTTCCAAAGGAAATCAGGAATACTTCATCGAAAGAAACTTTAAATCTCTGCTAAAGACCCATCTATTCACTGCTGCCTTTCTGTGAAGTTATATGAACTATTTACTTCACCAATATTGTCACAGCGCCACTGAGCATCTCTATGGTGGATATTAGGCGCTTTATAAATACATTACTATTAGGTCTTCAGACAAAAGTCTGGAAGGCCTACTGTTATTATCCGAATATTCTTCTTCTTCTTATTATTATCAATATTTGTACAAATTTTGTGACAGCTCTCCTGACCTAATCGCTTGGCCGATTTTCTTGAAACTTTCAGGGGTGATAGCCTGTATGCTGAAATTGATACATAGTCGAAAAAATCCTGAATTCCGGCTTCTGCTAAGGGCAGATAACCCAAAACGTCGAAATCTTTGAACCTCAATATCTCAAAAACTATAAGGGATAAATGGGCCAAACTTTCACTCAATGTAGACAACACCATTCCCCGTCGATTCAATACATACCGGAAGTTGGCCGGCAGGTCAAATTTTGCGCTAATTTGAAAAAAACTGATTTTTTTTTGCCGATTTTCACGTTTTGATGGTGCGTGTGTTTGAAAATCTTCTTCTCCAGAACGGCATATAGTACAATCGTGTTCGATATCATTTTAAAGCCCACACTCCGGACTACTTAAGCCCTTCCAGGCATGTCGATATCTTGAATAGTTTAAGAGTTATCACCCTTGGAATTTGGTCAATTTTTCTAAGACGCATTTTCATAGGGTTAAAAAAAAGGTCACAACTCTGTGAAAAATCAATGGATTCCATTTTCCTAAGTACCAACCTGTAGGTAATTGAATGGGAAACATTTTTGCTTCACATCATGGTTATGTAAAAATCAATAATTACGTCACCATTACGACACAAAGACAACCTTCGCGATTTTGCACATTTCCACACCTTTTTTGACAGTGCCTGTGTTTAACAATCTTCTTCTCCTGAACGGCAAATAGTACAATAGTGTTCTATATATCGTTTTAAAGCCCACACTCCGGACTACTTAGTTCGTTCAAGGCATGTCTATATCTTGAACAGTATCGGAGTTATTGCCCTAGTCAATATTTGGTCAATATTTGGCAAAACACATTTTTATAGTGTTCACAGCTCTGTGAAAACACAATGGATTTCATGTTTGAAGGTACTAAACTGTAGATAAAAAAATGTGGAACAGTTTTGCTTCACATAATTATTATGTAAAAGTCAATAGTTACGCCACAATTACGCCACAAACAGGGAGGGACATTAGGATTTTCGCATTTTGTCAGTTGTGAGATAACTAACTGAAGGAAGTGGCGATTGTTGCTAGATTTTACTGTCGCTTCCTTCACTTAGTTATCTCATTTCACAGGAAGCGACAGTAAAATCTAGCAACAATCGCCACTTCCTGGTTTTCCAGTGCCCACAGAAATAGTTCCCTCTTTAACAGGCAGTAACTCCGTTGTTCTTAGGTCTACAGTCAAAACAATTAGTGTTCTGGAATTGCCAGGATGTGGTCTCTCCAGCAATTTGCTTACCAGCCTGACTGTAACAGGAATACGCTTGTCTTTTTGACCACAACAAAATCTACAATATTTACCAGTAATCTCTTTTAGTATATGTCTGTAGATATTGCTGTATTATTTTGCTTTGTTTCACTGTCTTCCTGTTTGTTTTTGTGCAGTTTGTGAATTTTCCGTTTGTGTCAGCAGCATTGAATTAATGCCAAATTAATCTCAGGTTGGAACCCCGGCCTTTAACCGCACCACAGTAATTTTTGAATGGTTGAGTTGAGCTGAGTTGAGTTGGGCTTTACGTCACATCGGCATTATTCCAGCCATATAGTGACGAGGACAAGTGTGCATTCATAGACATTGTAAGTACAGAGTCAAAATGAGTTTTATTTAAAAAACATCTATTCATTACATTGTCATTTAAAAACAGAAAAGGTCATAGCACTAAATTTAAAAGCAGGCAATTTGTTAGTCACATTACACAGTTGCAATTTATGATACAGATAAACTTCCCTCAGGTTGTTCACTATCAGATGAGCGCTCACGCGGGAGAACAGATATCTCCTATAAAGAGACTACCACTGCAAAGCATGGTCCATGTGCAGATATGGGAGACGATGTGAATTTCAACGACAGATGTAATTGACATTGACAAGGAGCTGTCAAATCTGAGTTGGAACGTCATCCGATGCCCAAAGACATAGTTTCCCATGAATTGGCCTTTACGTTACATCGGAATTATCCTAGCCATACAGCGTCGAGAACAAGTTTGCATTAATAAACATTGTAAGTGCAGAGTCAGATATGAGTTTTATTTCAATTTTTTTTTGAATGGGTGTTTAACAAATGCACTATATGCACATACGTCTATGCGTCAGATAGCTAGGATCGTGGCGATTCCAGAACACCAATCGTTTGGACCGTAGACCCAAGGACGGCAGAGCTACGGCCAGTAAAAGAAAGAACTATACCTTCTGTGGGAACTATTTAAAAGGTACATGACCCCGCGACCCCGGCTGCATTTCACCGATCCGCTCTCGTGTCGAAAACGTGTTCTGCCTGCGTTTTGGACGCTTTCTAGCCCTTAAGTACACTTCAAACACCCGTAACTCCGAGAGTTAAAATGGACGCTCCAGCTGGCGTCCAAAGAAACAGTACAAGTGAAGGCAGCCACGGGGAGGGTATGGGGAAGTCTGAAGACCGTATGTATTGCCCAGGAGGCAATCCTAGTTATTATTATTATTATTATTATTATTTATCCTATCTCACGCAATGGATACCTGCCTGACCTTGCTTAAACAGTGTGTTTCCACTCTATGGTTGACACAAGAGAGAGAGAGAGAGAGAGAGAGAGAGAGAGAGCACTACATGAGATTTAGCATCCCAAACATAGAACTAACACCTGCGTAACTTTGGTTGTAAGGAACAAATCACCTGCAAGGGAAGTACAGTAAAACATGGATATAGCGTACAAACGGATATAGCGAACAAATTTAAAAGTCCCGTCAATAGTCCTTTATAATATCATTAAAATTATACGCGAAAAACGAACTGATTTACTACCCCCAAGACCCAAATAACGACGTGATTAGCGAACTCACTCAGTGTCAGCTCAGCCACTTAGCGGTATACATCAAGCGGCAAACATGTCCGGGAGTGAAACACTTAAGTTGTTAGTCACAGGGAAGTCAGCAAAGCTTAGATGCTTCAAAAATGTACGCAGTTTGCCAGTAACGTACAGATCAAATGCCAAGGCCTGGATGACTGGTGAATTATTCACAGAGTGGATAAAAAACCTGGAAAAGAGTATGACGAGACAAAAACGTAAGATCCTGATGTTTGTAGACAATTGTCCTGCCCATCCTGTTGTGAAACACCTGACACACGTCAAACTGGTCTTCCTTCCACCGAACACTAAGTGTTATGTCAATGTACATGTACAAGAATAAAGATTTGTAGCCTCAGCATATACATGTCTGTACATCTCTACAATCCAAGATGGCGGTCAAATGTGAATAACGAACAACGGATATAGCGAACTAAATTTCTTGGTCCCTTGGAGTTCGTTATATCCGTGTTCTACTGTAGTTTGGTTCATAAGACAAGCCACTCATTTCACACACCCTGAGCCTTCTGTGCTGGCATGTGCCATATTTCTCATACAGTCGAGCACCGTTGTGTCGAACTCTGATAACTCGATATCTCGGTAGTCTTGATATAACATCTCGGTCCCGGCAAAATCCTTCATAATTTATCATTATTCAAGCTCTTTTAAATCGATACGGATGTCTCGATATTTTGGATATCTCGATATAAAAGAAGTAAATCTTCAGTGATTTTGTAGATCTATAAAGAATTGCACTGATTTTAAATCTTACTTGTTTTATAATGATTCACATGTTAAGAATAAGTTGTAAACTTAAGTGAATCATATCACTTATGCTGTGAATTCGAAGTAAAACACAGGGGACTCCCAGCTGTTGGTTATGGAACAGTAACCTGATGTCTACAAGTCTACCTGATATTTGGGTGAGT